GGCCATTTTATTAATCATCCACTGTACGTATAGCACTTTGTTTGGATAAAATGTTAAATCATAGTTTACTATAAAAAGATAATATCATTAGGTATGCTCTTGAGCGTCATATAAAGAAATTTGAAATTATATTCCCAAAAACACCAATTATCGGACATATCCGAGGTGAGCCAATCTATCCGCGGAAGAATGTCAAGCAGGTTATTATTACATTTATATTTATAATTAATTTACAAAAAGAAAAATATTTTATTTTATTTAATTGAGAATATTCATTTTGACAAACATTTTATATACATACTAGTTACATACTGTTGAGACATGGTTGAGAGAAGGTCGTCAAGTAATGGTAATTAAATTTATTGAATTGCTTATTATTAAATTCTATAATCTTGCTATTGTGATTCATTACTGAATGATTTATCAGGAAGGGCAACAACCAGTCAAATATGTGAAAGCTCGCATATGTACCTTATCGAAACGTCGAGCAGCCAGTATGGCAGAGTTATTTAATCAGGAACCTCCAGAAACAAGCCTTTACGGTGAATGGCAAACTGAAGAGTATAAATCAGAACCAGTTATCGATGTAAATATTACAATTAATTTTAATAATCGTTAGCTATTATGTAAAAAAAATTTTTTTTAAGAATTGATGAATTATAGGGAAAAGTTCCAAGAAATCAGTTTGGAAATGTCAATATGTTTAAGCCAAGCATGTGTCCTGCTGGTGGTGTCCATATTCCCAGTAAGTTATATCATATTATATAACTAGTCACATAATATCGAGTTAAAATATATTGGGGTCTTTTAGTAAATGGTGTAGGAAAAATCGCAAAGAAACTTCACATTGATTATGGAGATGCTGTGGTTAGTATACATTATTTATTTTAAAAATCGTTTGACATGTATATTTAAAAAGCTCCATTCTTTTAGGTTGGTTTTGATTTTCAATCACGTCGATGTATACCTGTTGTAAAGGGAATTGTGGTTCCTGAGGAGCATAGGGAAATATTGATGGAGGTAAATTTACTTTGGGCTTCTTTCCTTAATGTTTCCGTAAATTGAGGTTGGTTTTATTATACAGGCATGGAGAGAACATTCAGAGCATGTAGCAGCAGTAAATGAAGCAAAAAAGCAAAAAGAAATATCGGATCGACAGAAAAAATTAAAAACCAAATTACAAGTACAGCAAAGAATACAAGAAACATATGGAAAAGAGGAGGAAATATTAGCCGAAGATTTGACTGAAGATGAAGAAAATGAGTTGTATCATGGTGACACGGACGAAGAGAAGAATTCCAGTCATCAAGTTGACAATTTTGTCACTAATTTGAATAACGATGAAGAATCTTCTAGCTCAGAAGATGATTCAGACGGAACTTATACTAACAATAATTCTAATAATGATAATGTCATTAATAATTTAGATGGCGATAATAACGCGGTGTGTGGTTCGGATGGAATAATGGATATTAATGATAGTAAT